TGTAGGACAAATACTCAGCCAGCGTTCCTGTGGGTCTGGGTGATGTCCCTTCCGTCTTTTAGTGTCACTTTTGAAATGGTTGTTCGAGGCGGCAAACTCCAGCGTTAACCTATGCCGCCATCTTGGTTCTCTCTCAATATACCTTTCATTTGACAGACCAAACTTCTCTCTCCAAGATAGAAATTGAGATAGTACAAATAAAATCTTTTGATTGCAGTGCAGTAAGTTGTGAAATTAAAATCAGAAAATAAAAGGTCTCTTCTTCCTGGAAACTAACAAACTACATATTTAGATATCTCTTGCATCAAAGGAAAGTACAAACTGAATTTCTGGTTAAGATGGTGGACTAGGTAAATACTGAGCGCACCTTATCCTATGACCACATCAAAATTACAACTAAATTACAGAACCACCGTCACTGAGAACTGCCTGCAGCCTAAGTGAACATAACTCCTGTAACCGGATATAGTTAGGAAGAAGCCACGTCAAGACTGTTGGAGGAGTGGAGACACGGAGTGGGCAGGTCCTATACCCATGGTGTGGCCAGTTAAGAGTTGGGAGGGCTAGCTCAGCTGTGGCGGTCCTCTCTGAGGAATAAAGGGTCCCAGCGCACAGCTCCAGTGCCAGGAAGGAGAGGTCCTCATAACATCTGGCTGTGACCGTCAGTGGGGATTGCGGCTAAGTGAGAAAGAAGGCTGCTGTAGTCCCATGCGTTCCCTTTAATGGCCCGTGTGTGGACTTGCTTGCCGACACTCACTCCCTCTGGGCTCCAGTAAAGGAGACAGATGGGGAAGAACTAAATTGACTAGCTTCAGGGGCAGGGCTCTGCATGAAAGTATTGGCAGGCAGGCAGGCAGGCACCAAATTGAACTCTCCATTAACCTGGTTAACACTGTTTGCCCTTTCCCCTCCTCCTCCCAACTCATGCAGCTAGTCTGAATCTCTTCCAGCAGTTTTTCCGTCTAAGGGCCTTACCTTGGCTTGTGTTGTGGACTTTCCTAAAAAATGACAAAGGTTCACAATACTGAAACAAGCATCATGTGGCTTCAATGTACCCTGTAACTCTTGTTTAAATAGCCCCAAGCCTGGCACAAGCAACGATTGGTTACAATGTCAACTTGACATTGTAACGTCCATCAGGTGGCCACAAACCTGGCATAAACAGTGGCCAGAGTTGGCTATAATTAAGCAGCCACAGCACAAGTGGCAGCTGGCCTCAGCTCAGTGTTGTGTCCACCAAAAGTCCCATGCCTGGCACAGGTGACAGCCAGCCTTCGTTTGCAGGATAGCCTCTCCCAAGTACCTTCAAGCCCCGCAGAAGTGGCCGTCGACCAGAGGTCACTTTGTAGCTCCTACCAGGCAGCACCAAGCCAGGAACAAAGGATGGCTGACCTTGACATCACCCAAGCCCCTCCCAGGGCCTCTAGAACCAACATACCGGGTGGCCAGCTTCAGACTATGCGAGAGCATCACCCAACCAGCTCCACAAATGACACACCGAAGGGCGGACTTGGCTGGCACCAAAGCCTGATTAAAGTGACTCCTGCTCTGTGGGGTCTGATCCATCAAAAGAGCTTGTCTGCTGTGATCATGGCAAGCCCTCATGAGGGTCAGCTCCACCTACTGACAAGCCAATAGCAAATGAGGCTCAACTACAATAGGAGGGCACATACAGCTCACACAAAGGACACCCATAGAGCGACCAGCTTAGGAGACTGGGCCCTACCTGGGGCTACTCTGAAGACCAGGAGATGTACTGGTTCTACCTAATACAGAGATATATAGCCCAAATGAGGAGACAAAAGGAACATCCCTAATGAAAGAACAGATTAATCCTCCAGAGCAGTGGTTCTCAACCTTCTGGCCCTTTAAATACAGTTCCTCATGTTGTGACCCAACCATAAAATTATTTTCGTTGCTATTTCATAACTGTAATGTTGCTACTGTTATGAATCGTAATGTAAATATCTGATATGCAGGATGGTCTTAGGCGACCCCTGTGAAAGGGTCGTTCGACCCCCAAAGGGGTCGCAAACCACAGGTTGAGAACGGCTGCTCCAGAGGAAGAACTAATGAAATGGTGACAGGCAATGTACCAGGTACAGAATTCAAAACAATTAGCTTAGGGGAAAATTAGATGAAGTCAGTGAGAACTTCAAACAGAAAGCATAAAAGTGAACCAGTCAGAAATGAAGAACCCCAATGACATAATGCACAGAACATCCAGACAGAAAACTGATAAGTTGCCTTAAATGACACATTACAGAAGGATGTAATTAATATTTTAAAGATAAGTCACCCCAAAACAGTAGAATATAAATTCTTCTGAAGTGCACATGGAACATTTTATAGAATAGACCACATGTTAGGCTACAAAACAAGTGTCAATACATTTAAGATTGAAATGTGAAGCATAATTTCTTTTCACAATGGTATGAAACTAGCAATCAGTTATAATAAAACTAAAAGCACAGACATGTGGAGGCTAAATAGCATGCTACTAAACAATGAATGAGTGAACAATGGATCAAGGAAGAAATCAAGATACTGTGAGACAAAATGATCCAAAATCTATGGGACACAACCAAAGCAGCTCTGAAAGGGAAATTAACAGCAATAGAGGCTTGCCTCAAGAATCAAGAAAATAAAAGCCCTGGTTCATGTGGTTCAGTTGGTTTAGAGCAGTGGTCGGCAAACCTTAGCTCGCGAGGCACATGCGGCTCTTTGGTCCCTTGAGTGTGGTTCTTCCACAAAATACCGACTTCTGCACATGGGCCACGAAGTTTCAATCGCACTGTACATGTGCGTGCCCGCACGTGGTATTTTGTGGAAGAGCCACACTCAAGGAGCCAAAGAGCTGCATGTGGCTCACGAGTCACGGTTTGCCAACCATGGGTTTGCAGCCGGATCCGGCCCGTTTGAAATGAATAAAACAAAACAAAAAAAGACCGTACCCTTTTATGTAATGATGTTTAATTGGAATTTATATTAGTTACACAAACACTCCATTTATGCTTTTGTTCCAGCCCTCCAGTCCAGTTTAAGAACCCATTGTGGCCCTTGAGTCAAAAAGTTTGCCCACCCCTGGTTTAGAGCATCTTCCCGTACACTGAATGGTGGTGGGTTTGATTCTCAGGGCACATCCCCAGGTTGCAGGTTCAATCCCCAGTTGGGGCATGTACAGAAGGCAACCAAACGATGTTTCTTATATCAGTGTTTCTCCTGCTTTCTCTCTGAAATCAATAAAAAGCATATGTTTGAGTGAGGATTTAAAAAAATCAAACAATTTAACATTATAACCAAAGGAACTAGAAAAAGTACAACAAACAAAACCCAAAGTGAGTAGAAAGAAGACATTGAAATAGTCTAGAAAAAATGATACAAAAGATCAATGAAACCAAGGGCCAGTTCTTTAAAAAGGTAACTGAAAAGTAAAATGAAATATATGGGAAATAAAACCAAAATTTCAGAATTTCAGGAAAACAAGTTTTGATTGTTAATTACTTGAACATAATATATAAAATTTTTTAGGTTCTTAAAGCTGCAGGAGTGAAAAAAGATGATATTGCAATGTGGGAAGTAAATGAAGCCTTTAGTCTGGTTGTACTAGCAAACATTAAGATGCTGGAGATTGACCCTCAAAAAGTGAATATCAATGGAGGAGCTGTTTCTCTGGGACATCCAATTGGGTAGGTAAAATCATAAAGAAAAATCTCTAAGTAGGTAAATGGGTGCCGTTGTGTTTCTGTTTAAAAGTGTTTCATGATAACTCCTATTACTCTGTGTTAAATAGATTTCTTTCCTACCCTTTATAAGGCAAACACCATTTGTGATAGGACTGAACATTGAACACAGATCTGTAACATTTGTTGCTTGAAAATTAATATTTTATTTAGAAGATTTAAGATTACAGTCTATGCTTGGGCCTTTAGAAAACTGTAACCATTATTAAAACGAGTCTCCCAAGTTTAAGAAAAGTAACAAAATTCAGCTATGATTAAATGGTAACAAACTTTTAAAGAATTTAGAAAAGAACTTTTGGATGACTACTCATTCTATTACTTCATTAAAGAATCAAAATGCTTTCTTACTCCTAGGATGTCTGGAGCCAGGATTGTCACTCATTTGGTTCATGCCTTGAAGCAGGGAGAATATGGTCTTGCCAGTATCTGCAATGGAGGAGGTGGGGCTTCTGCCATACTGATCCAGAAGCTGTAAGACGACCTGTCACCAGTGTGGCTGACTTCCTTGGATCAGCTTATACTCCAAAGAATGTTTCCTTTTTTATTATTTTCTATTTTAACTTTTTCTAAATAAGATGAAAAGATCAAATCCCAAAACATTTTGAAATTATAAATAAATTTTTTCTTCTGCTTTAAATTTTTGTTAATCTTCAGAAGTTTCCTATTTTTGTTATAAAGCTATATTTGAAATGCCAGTGTGCAAACTTAGTGGCTTACCAGTAGGTAGGGCAGTGATGGCGAACCTATGACACGCGTGTCAGAGGTGACACGCGAACTCATTTTTTTGGTTGATTTTTCTTTGTTAAAATGGCATTTAAATACATAAAATAAATATCAAAAATATGTCTTTGTTTTACTATGGTTGCAAATATCAAAAAATTTCTATACGTGACACGGCACCAGAGTTAAGTTAGGGTTTTTCAAAATGCTGACACGCCGAGCTCAAAAGGTTCGCCATCACTGAGGTAGGGGCTTAGTAAACAAAAATAATTCTTCAAACATCTAGGTAGAAAAATGTGTAGCCTGTTCTTATTTCCATTATAGTAAACATCAGAAGACAAGGAACAAACATCTGCATAATATTTTTAACGGAGACCTAGCTGGTTTGTTTGGCTCAGTGGATAAAGGGTCCGCCTGCAGACAGAAGAGTCCCAGATTTGATTCCTTGATCCTTAACTCTGGTTGGAGCTGGTGTGGGAGGCAACCAATTGATGTGTCTCTCTCACATCCATGTTTCTCCCCCTCCCTTCCTCTCTCTCTATGGAAAAATATCCTTGGGTGAGGATTAACAACAACATATACATATTAATGGAATCTATAATAATAAAAGCGTAATATGCTAATTAGACCGGATGTCCTTCCGGGCGACCTTCTGGATGAAGCTGGGGCTGTGAGGGAAGCCCAGGTCTTAGGTACCTGTCAGTGGCCAGAGGGAAGCCTGGGTCCCGGGTACCTGCTGGTGACTGGAGGTAAGCCTGGGTCCTGATGCCAGAGGGAAGCCAGTGCCAGCAGCCGGGGGAAGGAAGGCCTACTCTTGCACAAATTTAGTGCATCGGGCCTCTAGTAAAGTAATAAAAGCCACTAGAAGGTGTCTGGGCACACAATAGTTTAGAAATATAGCACTGTGATGTTTCCTGAAAGAATGATGAAAAAAAAAATCAAAATTAAGAAATTAGGAATGTGAAACTTTACAAGTTTTTAAATGATTAAGGACTGGTTGGCGCCCTACCTGGTTTGGCTCAGTGGATGGAGTGTTGGCCTGCGGACTCAAGGGTCCCAGGTTCAATTCCGGTCAGGGGCATGTGCCTTGGTTGCAGGCACATCCCCGGTGGGAGATGTGTAGGAGGCGGCTGATCGATGTTTCTCTCTCATCGATGTTTCTAGCTCTCTATTCCTCTCTGTGAAAAATCAATAAAATATTTTTTTTAAAAAAAGGACTGGTTGGGGATGAAGGTTAGTTAGTGGTAAAATAGGAATAGACATTTTACAGTTGGCTCAACAATGAGGGGTTAGGGGGCCGATTTCCTGTGCAGTCAAAAACTTGCATATAGCCTGACCGGTGTGGCCCAGTGGTTGAGTGCCAACCTATGAACCATGAGGTCATGGTTCGATTTCCAGTCAGGTTACATCCCCAGGTTGTGGGTTCGATCTCTAGTAAGGGTGTTGGTGCAGGAGGCAGGTGATCAATGATTCTTTTCATTATTGATGTTTCTATCTCTCCCTTTTCCTTCCTCTCTGAAATCAACAAAAATATATTTTAAGAAAATCTGCGTATAACTTGATTCCCAAGAACTAAGTTGTCTTTCAGTATCTGCGGGGGGATTGGTTCCAGGACCCCCTGTGGCTACAAAAAACCAAAGATGTTCAAGTGCCTTATATGAATTGGCATAGACCAATGCATACAGTTGGCCTTTCATATCCACAGACTCCCAGTACAGGTATTTATTGAAAAATATCTGCGTATAAGTGAACCAACAGAACTCAAACTCATGTTGTTCAAGGTCAATTGTATTTGCTAAATAAGGGCAAATGCCCATATAAATAAAAACGAGTTCTACATTTTAAATTACTATAGAAGGTAAGAGTTGAAAAGGCCGATTATCTATACCAGTGGTTGGCAAATTCATTAGTCAGCAGAGCCAGATATCAATAGTGCTTCTTCAAAATAGACTCGCCCAGGCTGAAAACCAACTTCTGCGCATGGGTCACGAAGTTTCAATTGCACTGTATGTGCACCCGCACGTGGTATTTTGTGGAAGAGCCACACTCAAGGGGTCAAATAATCGCATGTGGCTCGTGAGCTGCAGTTTGCTGACCACGGATAAAAGCCTATGTGGTCGCCACGCCCTCATGCCGTGATGCCTTCACGCTGTAACAATCTGTCATCAAGAGGCTGCATGCGCACGCAGGTGGGCAGGGACTTGACGCAGTGTGTGCAGCATGGAGGCAGGTCCCGAGTCTCCATGTGGAGCTGGGTCCCAGCAGCTCTGTGTGGCGAGACTCCCAGCTCCGGCCTACCTCTTTGGGACAATCCATTGAGGAGCCTCAGATGGGTGGGCGGGGCCAACCTCTTTGGGGAGCTCAATCGAAGGGCTCCTGCACTGTGAGAGGGCACAGGCCAGGCTGGGGAACACCCCCCCCCACCTGAGTGCATGATTTTCGTGCACCGGGCCTCTAGTAAAGTATAAAGAGAAGTAATTTCTAAGTTTATTAAAAGGAAGAAAGTGTTAAAATAGGACAAACGCTATTCTGTATAAAGAAAAGATTATTCAGAGTAAAATTATACAGAATCCAATGACAAGTAGAAGGGCACAAAAATAATTTTTTTATGGAGGATGACAGGAAAATTTAGCCCACAATTAGGAGTTGACTGTGATCCTCCCTCGAGAACAGGGATGTCAGCAGATGCCACCTCTGCCTTCTGACTTATGCCCACTACAAATCAGTATTTCCTAGAAGGAGCTTGCACACATGTGTGGCAACTCAACTTTCCTAGGTGCTACTCAAAGTTATCAGGCCCTGGGATCACCCGGCTTTGATAGCCAACAAGGCTTGCACTCATGGGTCCAACAAAAACTAAAATCAGCAGGTATGAATGGGTGCTAACCCCCATTGCCCATTGCCATCTGCCTAGAAGGGCCCTAATATATTCTTTCCCAGCTGCTGCCTGATGTTAGTTTCTAATCAGCTTGCATCTAGGTATTCACTGCAATCCTCCCTTTTAGGACACTGGTTTTTGGCACATCTTCAGCTATTGGGAGCAACTGAAAACAAAGAAGGCCACAAGGACAGTTGCAACAGTTTAAGAGGCAATAAGGAGCTCTGGCCAGGCTGATTGTGTCCTACACAGATCATTCTGTTAAGACTGGGAGAGGTGGCTGTTTTATCTAGTGCACAGAAACCAACACAGAGAGTAAAGGGAAAAATGAAGAAATAGAGGAATATGTTCCAAACAAAAGAACAAAAAACATTCCAGAAACAGACCTTAATTAAAAAGAGACAAGTGATTTACTGATAAAAAAATCAAATTGATGGTCATAAAGATGCTCAACAAGGTTAAGAGAATAAATGCATAAAGTGAGAATTTTAAAAGAGAAAAAATATAAGTATCACACAGAATTGAAGAAGACAATAATTACACTAGAAAATTCAACACAGGGGTTCACATCAAAAGTTAAGATGGCTAGAGGCTTTATGTGACACAATCAAATGGGCAAATATATGCATTACTGGGGTCCCAGAAGGAGAAGAGAGAAAGGGGGGAAAAGCTAATTCAAAGAAATCATGGCAAGAAAACTTATAATCTGGGAAATGAAACAAAAAACCATACAAGGAAGCCCAAAGAGTAAAAAAAAAAAGGGGTGGTGGTGGTGGTGGAGGAATGCAGAGAGCCCCACACTTAAGACACATTGTAATTAAATTGTCAAAGTAAAAGATAAGGAGAGAATCTTAAAAGCAGCAAGAGACACTTTGTTATGTACAAGGGAACCACAGTAAGACAATAAGCAGATTTTTTAGCAGAAACTTTACAGATCAGATTGAGTGGCATGATATATTCAAACTGTAGAAAGAAAAAATTTCCAACTAAAAAACTTTTACCAGCAAAGCTGTCCTTCAGAATTGAAGGAATGATAATTTCCAGACAAGCAAGAGCTGCAGTTCATCATTAGTATACTGGCCTTGTAAGAAATGCTAAAGAACCTTCAACCTGAAACAAAAGAACACAAATTAGTAACAAGAAAACATTTAAAAGTATAAGTCTCACTGTGACAGATAAATTCAGAATGTTCTAATGCAATGGTGGTGTACACTAAATCACTTATAGCAACGGTATAAAGGTTAAAATACAAAATATTAAAAAGGTGTAACTTCAAAAAATTATTGATATACACGGTGGAAAATATATAAATTGTGACATCAAAAACAAAATGGTGGGGGAGGAAAGTAAAAGTGTAGACCTGTAGTATGCATTAAATTACAAAGCTGAAAAGACTTATAAACACAAGGTATTTTATGTCAGCATGGTAGACACAAAGCACAAACCTACAGTAGATACACAAGAGATAAAGAGAATCTAAGCACAGCGTTATAAGAAAACATCAAATTATCATGGAAGAGAGCAAGAGATTAAAAAAATGATAAAACAGCTGGAGAACAACTATGTACTAGTAAGTCCGTATCTATCAATAACTATGGGTATAAAGAACGAAATTCTTTAATCAAAAGACAAAAAGTTGCCTGCCTGGCATTGTGCAATGGCTGAACATCAACCTATGAACCAGGACATCATGGATTCGATTCCTGGTTGGGGCACATGCCCAGTTGCGGGCTCAATCAGTTTACCACTGTTAACATGTTCTACCCATTGTTGAAATGAGATATTTGTATCTTATTAAAGTCTTAGCCTTAAGTCTATTTTGTCCAACTGCTGTTGCTTTCTATGCATGAAATATCTTTTTCTGTTCCTTTTGCTTTCAGTGCATGTGTTCTTAAAGCCTAAGTCTCTTGTAGGCAGCATCAATTTGGTTCTTTCCTTGTACATTTGGTAACTCTTTGTCATATATATATATATATAATATTTTATATGTAAATTTATTGTCTTTTACATATATATATATTGATTGATTTCAGAGAGGGAGGGA